CACGAATTCAGATATGGGATGAAATCGGATAGGGATGAACGGGTTTAAAAGTTTTTAAGAATTTTAAAAGTTTTTAGAAGTTTTAGCTAAATGCTTTATAAGATAGTATAGATATATGAAACAAAATAAAAATAATTAATTTCACCTAGCTAATATTATGTTTCTAGTTAGCAAGTATTCAAGTAAAATTGCATATAAGTTTTCTTCCGGATAAATGGGTGGATAGGTATGAGATGCAAACTTTGCACACGTCACTTAAATGCGGAGTAGATGTATATTTAAGGTGGATTAAATGTAGGGTTTGTAAAGTTAGGGCTTCTTCAGGTAAGCGTTTATCCAGTTAAGTTATCTTATCGGATTAATATAGTAAGGATAAAAAAAAATTATTCGGTAAGAACGAGACAAGGATCAAGAGTTTTACCCGATAAGTGAGGGCGACGACTCTTACCAACGTAAGCGCTTACCGGGTAAATTGTTGCATACGATGTCGTTTTGGTGAACTAAGATCTTACCCATTAAGTAAATAATAATGTTAAATTTTACCCGTAAACACTTATCGGGTAAGCGTTTGGTATATTAGTCGAATTTTTTTAAGGTGTTTTTAAAGTTTTTTGGTTAATTCCGAGATAATTTTAAGTTTGTTGGTCGATTTTGGGGAAATTTTTCGTTTTTTTTTTTTTTTTTGATAATTTCGATCGACTTTTTGGGTTTTTAAGTGGATTTGAGGCAATCTTTTTGGTTTTTGCTTGATATTCTTATGTGTCCTAACATCCCAAAGCACTTTCAATATGTAGCAGATACGTCTATTATGTCTCAAAAAAATCTTACTTGCGAAAGTAAGCTGAACAGGTACATGGAATCCTGTTCAGACACTCGAAAATTCACCTCTGATTTAACATTCATAGTAAAAACATTGTAAAGATATATAAACAAACCTTTATATATAATGTTTTTTATGTAAACATTGGGTACGTTTTTGTGTCTATATTTTTGATATCATGAAAACGTGTTAATCGTATAAAAATCAACGCTATATATAGAGGTTGAATTTGTTATTTGTTTACAATATAATTATTCAACATTTATTTTTGCATTATTAAATAATATCTTTTGTTTTGGTTATCAACCCAGAATTAGAACGTATTAAAATATTTTGAAAATAAAACTGAGAACCTTATCATAATTTTAAAAATAGAAAACATACTTTTTCAGAAATATATATATATATATATATATATTTATATATTCATATATATATTCATAAAATCTTCAGGTTGCATTAATTATACAAATGTAATGGATTACATTTGAAAATAAACTCCTTCTATATATATCTATATATGAATTACTCGACACAATCACCCAAGAAAATGACAAAATGGTGTTAATTTAAGGCCTTGATGATCATGGCAATGAATATAAGAAGAATTGAAATGGATAAATATATGGTATTTATTTAAATAATTAATAATTAAAAGAGGATGGAATGGAAGGTGATATATAAGAGAATGTTTGTTTTTATTATAGTTGCAGGTGCAGGTGGAGGTGGAGGATGATGATGATGATAAGCATGCTGCTGCAAATATCATATCTGACTGATCCTTGAAACACTCGGCCTGAATTCTTCATCAATGGCGGCCTCCATTCTCCACCATCCACCTCATCTCCACCGATCCTCTATATATA